GATTCGATTATCGATTATAAATCGATTATGGCGATTCGATCATCGATTGAAGTTTTTAGAATCGATTCTCATCCCTAATTACGAGCAGCCACCTAAGTCTCGCTTGCATAATTTAGTTTTTTTTCCTAACCTTTATTCCTTTTGGCTTGCTCATATTAGCAAATTAATTTGATTAATAACATTTGAGTTAAAATTCTATAAGAGTACAGAAACAAAAATTTGAATATAACAGCTACAAAATATTGCAATAACCATTAAAACAACCAAATATTTGAGTAGTAGTTTAATTTATAGACATAATCAAAGTCGTTTCCTACTCTATTGACTAGCATATGGCGGTTTGCAAAATGATGTATTTTTGATCAGGTTTTGCGGATCATGTTTATATTATGGCGCTTTGCAAAATTATGTGACTCCCGATTTTTTTTATATTACCGTGTAGATTAGCGTAATTACTGAGCTGATTACAATAATTACTGGGGTACATAGGTAGAGTAATTTTTGAATACCCCAAAATTTTAAAAGTTTTGAGTTTACTTAATTCAATTACATTTCATTGCAAGTTACATGAGATCCAAAAAAGCAACTGTGTAACGTTTTTGTGAGCGATAGTAATCAAGTGATTTTTTGATCTACATAACAATATTAGAGTTGCCAATTGTGCGATTGTGCAAAACTAATTTATTAATAATATAGAAATTAAAGATTCATAAAATATTAATTTTTGTATTAAACATTTGAATAAGAAATCACTTTAAAATCGTGCAAAATGGACGAAAATCAGGAGAATTCACATGTTAGATAAAACATACATCATTTTGCAAACCGTGATAATTACCGTTTTATTTATTTGTGCCGCTAATAAACTCGCAAATTTTTATAGGATCGGTCCTGAGAAGATTAATTAAGGAATTATCGCGGTTTGCAAAATGATGTATTTTTTATCTAACATGTGAATTATTGTGTGATTTCTTATTCAAAATTAACATTTTATGAATCTTTTATTCCTATATTTATTGCCGTTTGGAAATTTGCAGATCAAAAAAAAAAAGAAATTGATAATTTCTGATTTCCGATTTCATACATTTTTTCCAGTTTGAATTGTCATTTCATTTACCAATTCATCTAAAAACCAATCAACTTTACTTCGGATTAAAGAATATAAACTAAAATTTGATAAAAAAGGATTAATAATTTAAAAAATAAAATTATATATAATGTATAATAAATTATATTTACTTGAATACGTTTGTATTAAAAATTCTATATTTACTACGACATCCTGTAAATGGATTATTACCATAATTCCACTTATTATATATTGCGGATTATGGTGAAATCTTGACCTATTTTAGTATGAAATTTAAAATTTTTTGGGGATGTATTGTCTTAGCTTTTTTTTGTTTTTTTTTTAGGGTTTTTAGGTTAGGTTATGGGTTAGTGTTAGAGTTATTAGAAAAGAGTATAAGTAAATTTTTAGTAGGGTTTATATTTTCGAAAAGAGACCCCAAATTTCACCATAATCTACGACTTTTGATAATTACAGTATATCGATATTAATAAAAGGTCTAATCTAAAAGTTTAAAAAAATGTTAAAGAAATCGAAAATCAGAGATCATTGTTTTTTTTTGATCTGCACAATGAAAAAGTCTAGGCTGAGACTTGTCCGGAAGTTATTTAATATACATAAAACAATCCAATATAATCCAAAAATCCAACTAGAATTTAACCCTAACTGGAAGGTTTTGAAAGAGGTGGATATAACTTGAACCGAGTTTAGGGTTATTTAGGTAAGTTTATATTCTTTAAGGTTGGTTCTTTGGATAGGCTTGGTTGGTACTTTACTTTCGAATATTAGTTCTCTTGGTCACGTTATCGGGAATCACGTTTCGGAATTTTAATTCAACTAAAAACTGGCAATGATATGAAATAGTCACAGGTTCAAGATAACAACGACAATAGCGATTCAAACAAGAATGATTTAGACAACAAAGTTTATAACAAAGTGGAATGTTAGACTTGGATTACCTCTACTAATTATTACTTCGAAGTGTTTAATTCCCAAAGTCTTATTCTTTACTGGAGGTGAAATCCCAAGCTCTTATATGCATGTAGAATAAATTTTCCAAATTTCCCAAGTTTTCAATTTTTTGATTTTCGGATGACAATCGCGCAAATTCCATGTATAATACCGAAAATCAGGAATCTAAATCTATGATTGGCTAAAAATTATTTTTATTGATTTTTTTAACCAATCATATGTTTGCATTTTATTTCTAGATTTCCGGTGTGAAAAGCGCAATACTGCAATATGATCAAAAATACATCATTTTGCAAACCGCGATAAATTTCAAATAAACTTTTAATAATCGTATAAAATATTACACATCTAATTTACTTGCGTGAAATGACCGGATAAATTATTACCCATAAAATTTCAATAATTTATCATTTAATCTACTCATGTAAAATTATTTTATTTCTGAGATATTAAACCTGACCAATAATTCTATTGGGACCAGTCTTATTAGAGACCGAACCTGACAGATCCAACCTTTAGTTGTGAATGCAATTTTACGTGGTGAAGAAAAATTCAAAGAATAAAATAACTAATTGTCATGTTGTACACTGCATAACTGAT